GCATGCATAGAGGATTTTAGTGGGAAAGCCAGAAAGAAAAGGACCACTAGGAATACCTAACTGTAGGTGGGAGGATAATAATAAAATGGATCTTGGAGTGGTATGGACTTAATTCAGTTGGCTCTGGACAGGAACCAGTGAAGAGCTCTTGTGGACATGATAATGAACATTCAGGTTTCTTAAAATACTCAAAAATTCTTGAGCAGCTGAATGGCAGCTTCTCAAAAAGGGCTCAGCTCCATGGAATAAGTTTCTTTATGAGCACATAAACTTTTCAATTTAGAAAACTGATTATGTTTAATTTCATCTGCTGTTGTGGGCATAAGATTTATATTTAACAAGTTCTTAGGAATTCCTTCAGCTTGGTATACTGCTGTATCTTCTGTTATTAAGTTTTTAATTTTATTATTCCCTGTTTCTATTACTGTTAAGACAACTGGAAGAGTTTGCTATGAGTTTAAGGTTCTTTTTATTGTGTTACTTGTCTTCATTGATGGGCTCTTTGTCTGTAGAATATATACCTGCTTTCTTTTTACAATTTCCCAGACGGCTTTTGCTTTATTTTCTGAAATATATGTTTACTGTAATGCATAGTTTTGACTTCCTGAATGACTACAGATAAAACCTTGCAACATTTCCTGTGAAATTGTCATTACTTTGTTGTTATCAGATCAGCCATTTAGGTAAACATCTTGCTTAGGTATGTAGAATGTTTAGATACCTTTAGTCACCCATTCAATATTTTCAGACACCCCTTTCTCTGTTCTGATATGTACACTTGCTTAGAAGATTCTTTGGACAAAGTTCAGGAATGTGTTACATTTTGAGTCTGTATTATCACTGCTTAATACTGATTACAAATTTACATTACTTGTGTGTTTTACATTCTTTAACAATGTTCTGAAATTGACTCTATCAGATAGCGAAGTTATCACTGGTTTCATATATATGAGCTCTCTAAAGCTGTCTATAAGAATATTATAAACAACAGTACCAGTGTAATTTTTAATTTTTGTAAGGAAGTAAACCCTTGATACAGCATTATGGAATGCTAGTAGTGAGTTTTGACATCGATTATGATTACTTTCTGCACGGTAATAAATATTTATATTACCACAGATGACAAAATTCTGTCTTAGGTTTATAAAGATGACTTTATGTTTTCTAATTCGTTTATGAACAGTCCAACATAACGTGTGGGTACTCGGTATACAACTATATAATGTTTTAGAATTTCAATTCCAGTTGTACGGCACGGCATCCTATATCCTGTTCGTTTGTGTTGCATTGTAACTATCGGATTAAAATTTTGATTCTTTTTGACAAAGATGCTCACTTCACCTTTTGTCAGAGTTTTGAGGTTGTGGTTTCGAATTAAATATACGAACACGGCACTACAAGAATAGTCTGAGTACCATACAGTCAACAGAAAGAAATGTACAATTGCGCCTAAATGTACTACTCGCTGCATATCTATCATAAATCGGCTAAAAACATTCAACCAACTGAAGTCATAACTTCAGCATTAACTGTTCTTACTTCATACATAATACATGTGACACATGTCATGATCCGGTTGAAGCATAACCTTCAAGACACATTAATATAAGGATAGCAATGACTTACTATTTAAGTTACGCTTTCCAAATCACAAAAGCTTTCTTTTCCACCAACAAATTTCTGTCCGCCATTGAGAACAACATACATACGGAAGATATCATTGGTACCAACATATAAAACAGTATTTTTTTCTCGTTTTAAGACGCGATATTTTCATTAAAAGAATTGCAGACGGCATCACTAATTCACTTCATTGTGATGAATCTGAACTTTCCCCAATTCGAGTTTCCTACACATAAAATAAATAATTACTACTTTTAAAGACATCGGTTGTTTTCCATTGCGACTAGAATCATGTTTATTCACAACTGTTGTACAAGGATGTTCACATCAAACAATGCTTAATGGAAATCACTCATTAAACGAGCCTTGCCGTAGAATTTCTTAGCAGGAAAGTGTGTTATGTATTATGTCTCTTACACAAGAAAATGGAGAAGTATAGCGTCTAACAATCCTCACAATGTTAATGCAACGGTGATATTTTTTTTTGGTGATGTTTACTGGTTTCCGTGGATCAGTTACTATTGTTAGGTGTGGTATATTTCACTCTCTTTTTCGTGTTGCTCCCACTTTGGATCATAGTGCATTCTTGAAACGTTTTGTTTGACATCAGTTTCTTAATCCTAGGACAATTGGTAGGACTCCTTGGCTAGGGGATCAGCCCGTCGCAAGGCCGCTACCTACACAATCGCAGAATAAACGGAAATATCCATTGGATTCAGACCCACGATCCCAACGTTCGAGCGAGCGAAGACAGTTCATGCCTTAGACGGCGCGACGGCCAGTGTGATGGCCTTGTATTTGACACTAGAGTATTTTATTAAAGCTGGAATGATGAAATTTTTCATTTTCCCACAAAACTGATTCAAATTTTGTCGCAATTTACGCTCTCTGCTTACACTACATCCGTTTACGAATCACGTGTGATATTATGGTTTAATAATCTGGAAAACCTACAATGCGCTACAAAGAACTGCTCACATCGTTCACTACATAGAAACTTCACCGGCATGGATTGGCCTATCAGCGGACCAACAAAATATTCTCACACTAGCAGTCAGATTCGGAGGAAAGGTATGAAGGGTATGACGTTTAGACATCTACTGGTGGCAATTTGCGTCCGTTAGCGTCAACAAACTACCAACAATGGCACTTCAGTTTTGAATGGGCCATTATTAAATGAATGATAAGTTATTTTCATTAGTCCAAAATCATGAACTGTTTGTTATACATCACATGAGTGACAAATGTTATAGTAACAATGTCAAGAAGGTAAACGTCAGGAGATCAACGGGAGAACTGAGGACAAATTAGTACAGAAATTAATTTGGACGCAATTCTTACTGTATAATGTAGTATTAATATATAGAATGTATTGTGATCGTGAAAAACCAGACTTCGAGATTTTGATGTATTTAGTTTTCAGCCTTCCCGAAAATGGAAAAAAAAACGCTTTTGGGTTGCCGCCTGTCTGCACTACTTTAGCGCCTGAATGTTTGTACATATTTTACTCATATTCGGTCTTTATGAGTTTACCAATCATAGGTCCCCGCCCGGTAAACATTAGTACTGTAGCTCCCAAAATGAGGCCCCTTCAAATGGTCCTACAAAAGCATAACTGCAATATTCTCGAATGCGAGTCACAATTTTTATTAAATTGCAATGATTTATGGAGACTGTCTTCCTAAATAAAACTGCGTACGATATATCTTCAAAAAAATCATTGTGCGCTCCTTAATGGCCCAAGCGCAAAATGCAAATTCTCTCGAAAGCGGCTTGACCGATTTTAATTAAATGTTAATCAACTATAGAAGCAATGAACCCAGTTAATATTTTGTAGGCCAAATCCTAGACGTAAAGGAGTTCGAAGAACATGACTTCCACCCGGGCTAAATCACAGTATATTATTTTTGTTAAAAATTGCTTAACGACCTTGATTTGTGGGATGTCGGTTCCCGCATTTGGAGAGAGAAACACACAAATTCCTGATGAACGCCGGTGAAGTTCCGGCCGAAACGGGCTGGCTTGCGTGAGCTCCGGCGGGGGAGTTTCCCGAGGGTCGAGGCGACCGCTTTCGGAGTCGGTTGGCGGCGTTGCCGCTACAAGGGACGCAATTGCCTTGTACGCTCCAGTTGATGTCGCGAAGTGAGAATAGCTCCGACGGCCCCGACTCACTGAGTAGCGCGATGTGCTTCATCTTTAACCGCCGTTGATAACGGTGCCCGGTCCCATGGGCATTGGCGCTGCCTTGACTCGCGAGTTTGCTTCGCTCTGCTGGTCGACCAGAAGTTTGTAATTGGCCTGGAGATACATTGTGGTAGGCTCCCACATCCCCCCCACCCAGAGGTTGTTGCTCAGATGCTGAAACGAGCGGGAAAATTCACGTAGCGACCTGACCGTGTAGTTCGTGGGAATGGCGGTGGCAATTGGTGTTACTGTCGGGTTGCGTCGACCGCGAGGTTGGTCAGTCGCATTATACTACCAGTCAATATTTTTTTTATTGGTAGTGGGGTGGGACTAAGTCCTTTGTGCTGCGTCCAGTTCTGACCTATTGTACCAGCCCCACATGATAGGTGAGGGTGACTGTGGAGAAATTGGTGGAATGAAGATTGGCAGGGGAAACCAAAGTACTCTGAGAAAACCCACCCCAACGCCACTTTGTCCACCACAATCACACTTGACCAGACCCGGGATCGAACCCGGCCCGCCACGGTGGGAAGCCAGCAACTAACCGCTTGAACTATGGCATGGCCTCCACAGTCAATAAGTTCGTGTAATGGCCCCAAAGCGTCATACGGGAATTTACTGCCTATGTGTTTCAGCAATGTTTTAGACAGCTACATCAACGTTGGCAGACTTGCATAGCGGCCAACAGCAACTATTTTGAGGGTCGATGTGGGTTTGTGTAAGTGTATGTGAATACCTTATAATATGCTGCGATAACATCACATTCCACTAACATAATGACTCTATATGTAGGTTGGCTTGAGCCTATCAACTGACACAGTGATGGGCCTGCTGTGCATGAGGAGTTGCACTATTTTCTCTCTTTTCAAATGCAGACCTCTTCATTTTGCTGGGATCTTTGAGAAAGCTAGGCTGAAGTAAGGGAAGTATGATGGGGAACAATCAGAGATAAAAGATTGGGTTCGAAATTACGTATATGTCCTGAAATGTTACAGAGCTGAATGAATCCCCGATGTTTTCAGGTCATGAACTTTCATAATTGTTGGTTTTCATTAATTGGTCCTTCAAATTGTATACATGTCAAAAATTGAGGGGCCAGGGGAAAGGAATAAATGCTTGGAGCACACTTAATATGTTCCTACAGCAGGTTGTGCTGCAGGGGAAATATTTTCTTACCTGTCATCAGTCAGATAACTGGTTTGAGTTTTTCAGCTTTGTTCAAGTATTGCCCATAGCCACAAATAGGCTTTTAGATATATACCATAAGTAGTAGGCATGTTATACGTTGAAGCTGCTTCTGGCATTTTCAGTTCCACTATGAACTTTGAAGCTCCAGATCTTTTTGGAACCTAGTTTTTTAACCCAAATAATTTGAAAGGTGGAATGTATCCAGAAATGTTTCTCAAAATAGTGGCTTCAACTGCATTGCAGAGTAGCTGGCATCATCCCCTTACCCCTCATTTCACATTCAATTTACTAGCCAAGAGGGGCAACAACAGCCTGGGGACAAGCAATGCCTTGTGATGGTTAACACCAGGCTCTGTGACCATCACCAGGCCTCAAATTATTGTGGTTCTACCTGGGTGGAAGCCAAGTGTGCTGCAGACAGCGTCTGTCAAGTCCCTCCCCTTCTCAAAGGATGTTCTGGCGAAGTTGACTCTGGGGCACAGGGAACTACAAATTTGAGTGTACGTAGCAGAGATGACAGTTGAGCTCATGGCGTGGCTGAACGTCCTGTGAGCTTATGGCATGGCAGTATATTTGAAGCGCCACATGCTGGACCAAGAAGAGATGTTTTGGCATCCCGAAGCATGACAACCGCTTCCCTCATTATGCAGGACAGCAATGTGAGGATAGCAGCTTCTTGTGACACAGTGATGACTGTGCTGCTGGAGGGTCATTTGTTGTCGGTGAACAGCTGGAAGGAATTAAGTTTCAATGCTTTCACCAAGGAATGTGCATCAAGCCTGGCGAAACTATCTTTCAGGTTTGAGAATATGAAGACCAGATGTTGGCTGAAGGCATCTCTCTGTGCCACTGTGAATCAGTCACTTGGTCGTCACCAGTCAGTGAATGGAAACCCGAAACCACAGGAACTCAAGGGCTCTGAGCAGCTGCAAGATGTGGTGGTGAGCATCATGCCAAACCTCAACTGCAAAGAGGCTTAGCTGTTTAAGGAATTAATCATTAAATCCCACTATATATTAGCAGCAAATAGTGATGAATATGTGTGGTCTGATAGAGTTTACCACCACATCAACACTGAAGACATCCATCCGATCCATCAGCTCCTCACAGATTCCCATTAGCCAACCAGGTTGATGTGGGCGAGATGCTGAAAGACATGACAGTTTCAGTGGGAGTCAAGGGATCAGAAAGTTCTTGGTCTTCTTGTCATCCTCGTTGAGAAGATGAACAGAGATCACCAGTTCTCTGTGGACTACTGTGGCTGAATTTCTTTGCAGGTAAGTATTGTTTCCTGGCACTAAAGTTCCATTTTGCAAAAAGCAGAAACTTGAAACTTGATACCCTTGTCTCCAGTGCATGATGTCTAAGTGCTTTTCAAGAGGAATGTTCAAGTCCAGTTTCTCTTCAATGAACACTCAAATTTTGATTTTGTTCTTTTCCAATAAAGACTCTGTTTATCTATATTCATTTATGGTGCTGTGAATAGATTGTTCTATTTGGAACAGCGATGAACTGAGATTTATGTAGGAATATTTTCCTTATTTTTTCATATGGATATTGTACATAAACACTTTTTTTTCAATGTGCAACCCTCATGAGCAATTTTGACACATTGCATGATAAAAGTAAAGCTGTGACCAGTAATGTAACGAATCATTCATTTAGAGTTCTTATGTAACCCCATCCTTTAGTCACAACTTTGAATCCAACATATTCACATTTCCCACATGGACTGATATATGAACTTAACTGTAAAGCGACTACTGTATCAACTTAGTCCTATGCTATTTTTGTTGATTTTATGTCACTCCTTGTGTATGAGTTTCAGCAAACTGAACAATAATTACACCAAATTGCACAAAGAAAATTGTCTATGAATTCTGTATAAATTTTATTAACAACTGGCAGATACTGTGAAAAAATCATTGCCAAGAGTAGTATATTAGTTCTGTATAATTTTAATTTATAAAAGAATGCAAAGAAAATAAATGTAATTTTAATTTATAAAAGAATGCAAAGAAAATAAATGTAATGTCATGCAAATACAAATATTGTACTCTTAATTTGCAGATTCATATAAAACATTTGTAATTTATTCTTACATTTTAAGGGTTATTTAACTAAGCACTTGTAATATTCAGAATATAAAATGTATAGTTTAAAATCAGTATGAACATGATAATAATTTGTTGTTACCTGCTGAATAACCATACAAATTCACAATATTTATATGACTAAAACCAAAATCACACTTTACACTTTGTCACTTAATGTAAAGGTTTCTTTTTGTAAGCAGCATTTTTCTTTCCTTTGTAGGTGAAACCATTTGAGAAATACTTCTCAGCATCCTCACTGCCTGGGGGATGAAGTCTCATCTGGAAAATGAAACCAAAATGCAAATGTTGGAAAAAAAATTTCATCTTTATTCAAATGACCACAATTTTCTATCACTGACAACAGTTCATCAGGCCAGAATGTTCCAATTTTAATCACTTTGATCTGCAGAAAATATTTATTTTGTTCACTTTAAGTGTATATAATATATATTTTCCAGCATGTAATTTATTTGGTTGTTCACTGCCAGAAAAAAGGCACACTCGATAATGAGTGAAAACTCAGAGCAGTTCCTAATAGTACATCTCTCATTTAAACACCTGTGTCATATACTCAGTATATCATTAATTAACTAGCAATTTTTACAAATTTATTCATGATATATGGTTTATCTATATAATACCAGTACTAATTTATATGTACTACAATCGCATATATGGATGGAAATTCTTTAAAGCAAACACAACAAAGAGAAACTGAAACAAGCCTGTGTATGCCACTGCAATCTGTACACATTAGTATGACCATTAATCTGACAGTATGACATAAGATCATGGCCATTAAAGCATAATTAATATGCAGGTTTAATCTGCAATGTTAGTAAAATATGATATGGTCTCCTTGTTAAGTTTAATCTTTACATATGCAATTGCTTAGAGTTATTGTAACATACCAACAAGGAAGCTTTGGGCAAGAATATCTTAATGCAGTTTTCTTTTGTTCTTGTTAAAGAAATAGTGAGTCCACCCTTCATATGAAGATATATTATTTCTGAAAGTACCTAATCTAATTAGTTGTGAAATAATCTATGCTACACATTGTTCTAAGTATTAAATTTCTCTTATCTGATAAATTTTTTTTTTCCCAAAAGGGCTCAGTTTTAGGACATAAATAGAACAAATATTAGCATATAGTTGGTAATTTTGAAGTGACTCATTTTTTCCTGGTTAGCACTACCACTGTGCAATCGTTAGGTTTAAGTAAATTTCTTTTAGAAGTAACACTATTATCTACTGCACACAGTTACTCATGATTGCATGTTGCTGAGATATGGACCAAGAAAAATTGAAAGTGAACTTTAAGCATGGTAGGTGAGTGCCATCAATTCCAGGCAGAAATATGCAGTAGATGTGTACCCGACAACTATCATTTCTATTCATTCACGGTGCTTGAAGCATGCATTGATCATTTAAAAAGGAAACTTTTTAAATGTCCCTCACAGACAAAAAGAAACCTGAAATTTAAGCGGTGCTTATATACACAGCCCCCGATTAGTTGCAAAGTAACATTTAAGTTATAAAGAAACATTAAAAAAATATTATCTTTGATTTTCTGTTGTGTTTGTCCATAAAGTAATTATTTGTATCTACACTGTGCTAAGTCTGTAATTGGCCTTGTAGCTGTTGACTTGGCACATAAATAATAAATAATTGGCTTGAATAAACTGAAGTATGAGTAGCATGCAACAGTGAGATATGTGAAAGATAAAATTGTTACCACATTCAGTTCTTGAAAATTATAAACAACAGGTTCAATGGCCCTAATGTGTTATGCTGTTACATTTAAACCTTGGAAATGAAAACGTTTCAGGTTTAACAAGCCTAATGTGTGAAGCTGAGCAGAAGTATATTGTGAATGAAATCCTATTGATGCCTACATTTCTGTAAAAAAAGAAATACCAGTAAAGGACCAAGGGGGCCATGAGTAATGAATAATGTCCGTCTTAAATTCTGAATTATATATAAATAAACAGATTCACACTCATCATCTGTTTTCTCCTAATTACTTGATGGAAGTCCCATTAAAATGGAACTATTATGAGCTTCATGGTCTATACTTTCAAATTCTCTATGAGGAAGACCCACATGTAACACACAAAATGCCGAGTCTNACGGTGCTTGAAGCATGCATTGATCATTTATAAAAGAAACTTTTTAAATGTCCCTCACAGACAAAAAGAGACCTGAAATTTAAGCGGTGCTTATATACACAGCCCGCAATTAGTTGCAAAGTAACATTTAAGTTATAAAGGAACATTAAAAAAATATTATCTTTGATAATAGGAATGAATTCACTGCATGTTGGTCAACAGGGATCTGATGCATCATGATAACTTTCTACTGGTTAACAGTAAATCCAGACTTCAAAAAATTTTCACTGAAATTCAAACTTTTATTCATCATAAACTAGAAATAGAACATCAATATTTTAAATGTGAAGCTGTAATTAGACTTTAATCTAATGAAATTAATAGTACAAGAGAGAGCAGCATTTTTAAATGTAATATTAATAACACTACAGATATGAAAATAACTTCAAACTGTTTGATTCTAGTATAAAAAATAAGTTTATGTTATCAGGAACTGAAGCATAATGACAAAGAACAGTGTGACACAGTATTGATAAGTCAGAGAATAAAATAGAGCAGTGGTAGGTACATGTATAATAAGTATTTTTAAAATGTATACAGTAATTGAATCTTATTCCTGCACATAATTATACAGCCTACTTAAATTTGGAAGATAATAAGAAGATTCAATTTAAAATTTCTCATTTTGTATATATATCTAATTCGAATGCACAGAGAAGTGCAAATAAACAATCATACTAATATTGAAATCAGTCTTACTTCGGTATGTTTCACAAACAGACCTTACTTTTTTATGCATCACAAACAGACCTTTGAATTTTAATTTATTTAAGTTCCATAAATCCAAGTACAGGTTGACACCATAGGATATGGAACAAGTCAAGTACAAATAAAATAATAGTTTTGCTTGAAAAGTTAATAAGATTATAATACAGTATTATCATGCTAGATGGATACATACAGCAAAAGTCTGCAAATAAGCAAAATGTTACAGTAACATGCTTGGGAATACACTTTAGCTTAGAATTGGTAATAATTACTGTTTGTTTATTTTCAAATATTCATCTATGGAGTAGGAGTGAGTAAGTAACATTTCAATGTTGTTTTAAATTGCTTAATATTCCTAGTTGCTTTTTTGAGACTTTGAGGGGATTATTGAAACCTTTGATGTCAAAGAAGTGAACTCCTTTTTGATACAGAGATAGATTTGCTGAATATTGGTGGAAGTTGAGTTTTTGCCTCCTATTTATGTTATGGGTGTCAGAAATTAAAGTGTACATGCTTTTGTTTTCTACCAGAAGTATCAGGAGTTACTTGTGAGTGAAACAGTAATATTTTTAAGTTTTTAAATAAATATCTGCAAGAATCTCTATTCTTGCTTCCTGTGAAAATTCTAATTGCCCTCTTCTGCATTTTGAAGAGTTTAGTGCCAGTCAAGGTAGCCAAGTGGTCTAAGGCATGAACTGTCTTTGCTCACTCTGATCATGGGTTTGAATCCCACACAAGGCAAGGATGTTTGGTATGTGAATGTGTTTATTCTGTGTTTGTGTGGTCCTATGTTTAGGTAGAGTACTTGTGACAAGCTGATCACTCGTCCAAGGAGTCCTGCTGTCTGTAAAATGATCAAAAGGAAAAGACAACCTCGACACCCTAAGGTATAAGAGGAATAGATTAAGTAAATAAGATTTTAGTGCTATCTGTAGAGTTTCCCCAAAATGTTTTTCACAGCTGTTCTCAGAACAATTATGGTGTTAGTCTGTACAGACTTACTGCATTCAAATGTAGATATTGGTTTCAATGTAACAAAGATGTAAAATATAGCTGCAAGATAAAGCTGTAAAAAGACATAATATAAGGACTATCAGCAGGTGTATGTATATAATTTACCAAAATTTACACTGACTGTAGGAAATGCAGACAAGAATTTTATTAGTAATAAAAGTTAAAGTATCCCTATAACAGGCAGTGGAGACATGTGTGGGAGTGGGAGGTCAAAGCTCCCACATTTTCTAGACAATTTGCTCACAGATGGTGGTGAGGTTGTCAGCCTTATGTGCCAGCTGCCCTTTACTCCCCAGGAAAATTCCTGATACTCATTTCTGTTAAGAGGCTGAGCTGAATCCTGGTCTGTAGTGTGGCTGGAAGGATTAGGTAAATTTAAAAATATTCATCTCATTGGGACTCAAACACATGACCTTCCAGCTTGTAGCGTAGCGCCTCAACCAACTACACTACCATGTTCCCCTTTTATTAGTAATTTACAAATGAAAAATGAATCATACTGTATGAAATGGCGTTGTTTGTTCTTATGAATATTTCAGGTCAAAATTAATTATCTGATAAATTCAGCTACTCAATCAAGACATTCGCAGCATTTTTTGGAACCTTTATGTTTATTATTATGTTCACAGGAGCCAGCCATTGTTCCCTATTCCAAGTCACATTATTCCAGTCTGCAACCTGCCATTTCATTTCTTCAAGATCCACTATGATACAGTTTTCCCATACACATTCTGACAGCCACGCTGGTCTTGGTGTAAAGGGAAAATCCTGCCACCAACAGAAGAATTCCAACCTACTGCCCTCATTCTGTTAGCTCAGCTGTCATGGCTCCCCTTTATGAACTTAGAAGCTTCTTTCAAAGAGAACGGTGAAAAATATCGGTACTGATAACTAGATCTAAAAATGGCCAGCTTTAATAGATGAAAATTACCAGAGTTCTTTATGTTGTTTATCACAAGTGATATATAACTGATATTAATATAATTTCAATGAAAGAAGATGAATATGTATTTCAGGATGGAAAGTAACAGTTCATAGTCTTCATAATTGTGAAAGGATATATACATAAATTAATTATGCATTCTATATAGACATGAGGGGGCACGCGGTAGCGTAGTTGGTTGAGGGGCTATGCTACAAGCCGGAAGGTCACGGGTTCAAGTCCAGATGAGGTCATTGGATTTTTTCAGTTGACCTAATCCTTCCAGCCGCACTAAGCCCTGGGGTTTATTCAGCCTCTAACAGAAATGAGTACCAGGAATTAATTAAATAATTTTCCTGGGGAGTAAAGCGCGGCAGGTGGGTAAGGCTGACAACCATACCGCCATCTTTGAGCCGATTGTCTAGATAGTGTGGGATCCTCAATGTCTCACAACCCTATTGGCCTTCACAGCCTGTTACAGGGATTGCTTTACTTTACTTTTATATAGACATGATCATATTTAGAACATGTGACTTCACAACACACCCGCTGATAGCCCAGTTAAAAGTGAATATAATGAAGAACAGAAAATGTACAACTAAATAAAGAGAGCAGAGCAACAAAACAGGAAAATCCAAATGTGCAGCTAATGAAGGCAGCAGAAAACATCAGGTACAGTGACAGATATACAGGCGAAGAAAGCTGAAAATATACACAAAACAAGGGAGAGAGAAATATTATACTATATAATACCTAATTAATTTAATATATAGTTTCTGTATCAAGAAACTGATTTAAAACTTCTTGGAACCAAAATCATTTGGTGAGTCGGCTTCAACCTCCTGCTCCTTCTGGATCCGTTTCTGTGGGGAACAAAATAAGTAAGGCACAGTATAGTTATCAGAATTGTACAGTTCAGACTTTCAACTCAGTCAGTTACTAAAATTATTTATATATATATATATATTAATAATTGACATAAAGAACCAAAATTTTATCCACAGTAATCCATGTGTGCTGTGCGTAAGAAATTCTTATTAGTGTTGTCATAAACCAGTTCAACTTCTATATTGGAACACATCCAGCAAGCTAATTTCTAGTTTCCATATTATTATATCTTTTACTGAAAGTACTATTTGTAACAGACATTTCTTCAAACGTTATTTTTGTTATGGAAAATAATTTTTTAACAAAAATTTTTCCTAGTATTAACAGGAAATAAATTGACTGTTGTGTAATTTGAAAGCAAAAGATTAATTTTATCATAAACTATACTATGTAACTTCCAAAGCAAACAATTTTCATCAATCAGGTCAACATTCCATGTTTCTTAAAGAAAATCGTTATATTTTATTTGTCTTTAAATATATCCCATAAATCATGTAAACTGTTTATAGTTTGAGCATATACTGTAATAATGAATATTTATATAAATTAATATTAAGAATTCTTCCAGTAAAGGACTTTATCATATACTTCCATTTGTGTTGTAAAATGTATTAAAACTATAAATGTTGACCAAAAACTTGCACTGCTTGGAATTTTCAACACTAAGGTGATGTCTGATATGACATTAATGTAAACCAAAGAGATTTAATCTTTTTAGTTAGTAAGAAGAAATATGTTTATGTTATGAAGAAAACTGACTAAAGATATGAAGAATTTTAAAAGTAACTATGTTGTGATTTTGATTTTTTTATTTGCATATCATAACTGAATTATGAATGTAAACTTTCAATGACAAAAGGATCAAAATGAATGTTGATACAGCATATGGACTATTTATATTTTGACACTGTGAATGTGAATATACAGTGTGAAACACATAAAATGATCTATTCTCACTCATGCATAAATCCTATATTATTGTTAGAGGAACATATATACACACTACCATGTAATATAAAATTTGGGAAGTAATTGTGTTGCACACAATTATAGCATGCAGAAAATAATTCCCTTTTTGATTAAAAATAATTTTTTCATAGTTTTGCACAGGTTTAATAAACAACACAAGATGGTTTCCTGGTTGATAGATGATCATATATGTTGAATCATGTGTAAAAAGAAATTCAATCAATCATGCAAGATGGTCCCACATTTCATATTGATATAATAAATGGAGAAGTGGCATAAAATGTTACCATCTTTCTGTGAGGTGTTTTAAACTAGTTCACAAGTTCTAATCTCATCTGCCCCGACTATGTTTGTGGGAGTGTGAAGAGTGGTGTACCTAAGACACAACCTACCACACCACAAGATATACAAGCCCAACATGGCATGTTACCCTCTAGAAAGATACATTGTGTCCCCCATGCCTAATTTCCAACTTTTATGTTACATGGGAATGTGTAAATTTATGTTCCTTTATTTATAAAAGAGAATACTGAAAACAGTGCACCTTCTCTGTCTATCCCATGGTATAAAACACAGGAGACAATCCTTCTGGTATGACTAAATTGTAATGAGTTATTCGGTTGACTCACCATGATGCGATACTTTTCTTTGCAGGCATATTCTGACTCATCAACATCATTGTAACAATCACTCTTGTAGTCTGATGGGAGTTTATTACCACCATGTTCACACAACTTGCTTAGAGGTTTTGCCTGAACAATCATTTTGTCAAAACCTGTTGGCTTCCGCTGTGGGCAGTAGAATACATCTGGAGTTTTCTTGTTGAACACAATTGACTTGCGCATCATATCACCTGCATATGCTGCTGCCACCTAGACAAGATAACCCAGTTTAATTCACAGTCCACACTCTTACATTCAATTAACAAATTAGTGATTGAAATATAATTGTCATTAAACAAGCTAGCACAAATCCTACACATTCTGCACAGTGAAAATAAGGATTAGTAACAGTTTAACTGTGAGACAAGAATTTTCAAAATTTTCTACAGTTGCTTCTCAAGTATTACTTATCATGCTGTTGGCCGTGTCATAGCTGAAGCAGTTAGTCGCTGGCTTCCCACCGCGGCGACCCGGGTTCGATCCTGGGTCTGGTCAAGTGGGATTTGTGGTGAACAAAGTGGTGCTGGGGCGGGTTTTCTCCGAGTTCTTCGGTTTCCCCTGCCAATCTTCATTCCACCAAATTCTCCATCATCATAATCACCTGGGCCAGGTTACAATAGGCCAACCAGTGGCCACTATGCCGAGTGGACCCAGTTGGACTCCACCCCCACTAAGCAAATTAAAAAAAAAAATATTTATCATGCTGTTGCTTCCTGTTTTGAAGCAGGCTACATTTTTAATGCAATCCAAATGTTATAATTAAGTCCTAATTAATACCTGATTAATAAGATAGAGATAATATCTTATTCATTATAAATAAGAATGTATTTTATTAGATATACTGTTATATCAATTGTTCAGTCTTGAAGGAGAGGGAATGCATACTTAAATGGATACTGAACGGGCTTTGTGGGCCCAAAATTGATTGCATGGTTATTAAAGGAGTTCCGTGGTTCTTTGTCTACTGGAAAGAGAATGGCACAGCAATCCAACTTCAAGCACTGGCATTTCATATTACTTGTGAGAAGTTGTGAATGAATTTTGTTAAGAGCCAATTATTTCTAATGAAAAATTGTCATTCTCCATTTATAATACATAACATACAACATACAGATAAATAAACAATTATGTGACTTGCCATTACAAGCAGCAGTCCTAAGGCCAACGTCCATCGAGCTAGAATAAATTGCACAAAATTATACAAAGTACATAGAGTTCAGTCAGTTCTTAAACACATAACGTGCATGACTGGCCAACCCAAATGTTACACAACTAGTTTCCCATAATCCTATGCAGTAATTCTTTCATATTTCTTAAACTACAACAGATTAATATGAAGGTATAAGTGAAATAAATTAATGTAGTAGACCAGTGTGTTTGCTTAATTCTGAAACATGACTTGTGAGGAAGCAATTAAAAATATTGATAACACATAGAATATGATTTGGGTTCCCATTACAGGTAGAATTTGAATCTGAATTTATATTCCGTAAATCCAAGTACAGGTTGATACTACAGGATATGGAACAAGTCAAGTACAAATACATAATATCTGTACAATAATAGTTTGCTTGAAAAGTTAATAAGATTATAATACAGTATTATCACGCTAGATGGATACATAGAGCACAGGCTGCAAATAAGCAAAATGTTACAGTAACATGCTTGGGAACACACTTTAACTCAGGATTGATACTATAGTAGTTACTGTTTGTTTACACTGAAATACTCATCTATGGAGTAAAGGGAGTGAGTGAGTATTATTTTTTATTGCTATTGGGGTGGGACTAAGTCCCTTGTACTGCGGCCACTTCTGGCCTATTGTACCAGCCCCAGATGATAGGTGAGGGTGATTGTGGAGCAATTGGTGGAATGAAGATTGGCAGAGGAAACCGAAGTACTCGGGAGAAAATTTGCCCCAGCGCCACTTTGTCCACCACAAATCCCAACTTGACCAGACCGGGTTCGAACCTGGGCCGCCGCAGTGGGAAGCCAGCGACTAACCGCTTGAGCTATGGCGCGGCCTAGTAAGTAAGTAAGTAACGTTTCAATAAAAAAAAAAAAAAAAAACTCCATGGTTTTAGTCAGCAAGCGAATTATACTGACCGAGCGACCGCCACTCTCCGTGAAATAGCTACTCAGTTATCCTCACGAGGCTGACTGGACCCCGTTCCAGACCCAATAATTCTCAGAAAATCTGGTAGCCCCAGGAATCGAACCCGGACCTCTGGATCTGTAGCCAGGAACTCTGGCCACTAGATCACAGAGGTGGTCAAGTAGCGTTTCAATGCTGTTTTATTGCTTAATATTATTATTTGCTTTTTTTAGATTTTGAGGGAGGCTATTGAACATTTTGATGCCGAAGGAGTGAATTCCTTTTTGGTATAGGAGGTATATTTGCTGAATGTTTGAAGTTGAGTTTTTGCCTCGTGTTTATGTTATGGATGTCGGACGTCTGCACGCACGAAGACAACACCATACGCGACTTGTGAGAACAACGGACAAGCAAGGGCCAAAATTTCAGGCATAACATAACGGGTTTGCACATGGAAAGGGTGAGCCGTTGCAATGTAAACAACTTTAGAAGGGTATAATGGAATTAGGAGTTTATATAATTAAAATCTGTAACGATTTAAACTACTTTAAATTGATTTTCAATTGAGTGAACTGTAACATATAAGATTTTAACACACAATAGTTGAGTGCAATCGTAACATTTTAATTAGGAAATGGTCAGTTATGCGCGTGCGCAATCGACAGTACTCAGTGCAGTGTAGCAGTTTTGGCATAATGGGGCACCTGAGGATGACCGTTTGGGGCCGAAACGTGTTGTGTAAATAGCGAATGCAAATGTGAATGAAGAAACAAATAGATGCATTATCGACGGATAATTACATGTAAAGAAGAGTGTTGTTAAGCTTTCGTATGATTTTCAGGAGCAGAGTTAGATATGAACAGGAGCTGTAGAATTGGTGTAAGTATTTTGGAAGACGTTGAAAATGTTCTGCGTGGTCGAAACGTGATTCAGTTTACTGTTCATTCGCGGGAATGGGGATACACTTCTTATTATACGACGTATATTTCAAATCGTGAAAATGGCGTCGTGGCTGCAATTTGCTCAAAATAACAAAAGATTGATTGCAGAGAATTGTTACAAAACGTTTCTGTCTGAAAGGCCACGTACTTATTCATTTCCATCATGCTGCGTCATTTATATTTACGTTACCTGCGAAAGCAAATAATGACGGCCAACTGATGATGAGATGATGACGTCATAGAAACAATTCGTGTTTTGTTCCTCTCCAAATCATGGCTATTTGAAAGTACATGACACTATTGTAATCTCACTACTTTCCAGCCTTATAAACCTCAGTTTTATTTCACAGGTTTTTGTTACATAATTATTTACATATTTTGCATAATGATAGTATATAAAATCCTAGCTTTACTCATAACAAAGCAACGAGACAAGCAATGAGGGGGAATCACACCATTATCCTAGACAAAGCCAGAAGAGTGAAGAGCTCTGAACATCAATAGTTATATATATTAAATAGGAACGACTATTGTAAAAAGGTACCTAGAATAAAAAAAAACATAAATATCAGACAAGTTACGCGTCAGTCGTACATTGCGACATAATATTAAAGACGCGAGGAAAATGATTATAGTAACAGGTTTGCCACAGCAATCCACACGTTTTGCATTTGTCCTAAATACAAGTCATGAGGATTCATTCTGGTACTAAACAATAGTTCATGGCCACGTGAAGACTTCCGTTGCCTTGTAGTCTTTGTGAAGTCATGTTTGCAAGGAAACTAATTACATATACACAATTTATATCTTTTTTTATCGAGCTTTGATTACCATCTTAGTTCTGTTTATCGGCATTGCAGCATGGCGACAAATATGGCCGATTAATGGAAGGCGGGAAATTGTAATCTGTGTAACTACTGGCTACGGGCTGGACGACTGAGTGGCCATTAAGGTTAAAAATATTCTCTACTTCATGTCTTCCAGACCGGCTACGGGACCCACTCAACCGCCTATCCAATGGGTACTGAAGGCTCTTTGCCGAGGGTGAAGCTGATAACTCAACATTTATATAATGCCGAGGTCAAGAATGGTGGAGCTAAACCCCCACTCGCTCATATGTCTTCATGGCATAGCGCTTAATTAGCTGAAGACAAGAACAACTTTATTTTTTTTTACTGCCAGTTATTGTGTTCACTGTTCTTTCGACTACTTTGCGGTACTAGTGGACCTGATGATCTAGGGGTCGGTGTTTCGTTTAAAAAACATCCGGTAAGGAATTTTTCTGCCCTGCCTTCTCCCTCCTTTGCTTTTATTGAAGTCAAAACGTTCTGTACGTGAACACCGGACCCCCACCGTGTTCGAATCCTGCTTCAACCTGTCTGCTCTCCTTCCCCGCCACAATCGACTAAAAATCACCTGTTACCCCACCCTGTGAGTGCTTCCAACTAAAACTGCGGTTTCCAGCTTTCACTTTAGCCTGACGAGCATAGGCCAGAATTTATTGGAAGCCTAGATTACATCTCGTGAAACGGCAGAATGCGAGATGTGGAAGGAAGCCATCATGGCGCGTATATTATGATACTAACACAGAATTTGGCTGGAAAGAACGAGTACATTTCGGAATATCTATTCGAGTTACCCAATAACCGTGTCGAGATTTGAAACCAGAATCTTCCGAATACGAATCACTGCCAACAGCTTCGCCATAACTTCTGTAAATTATGCTTAAATGCGTGTGAATCTTGCAATAGTGTGACCGAGTTTTGTATCACAAAAAAAAAAAAACAGGTTTTTTTCCAACACGACCTGCTGAAGAGAAAGGCGTCCTCTTTCCACGTAATAATGCACAAGTTTGCGAAAGTCTTCTTTACGGCACTGTTCGTACCTGACACTAAATACGAATTCTTACTTTTCGCCTGGACCTAACTGATGTGCACAGGCCTATGTATTTCGTAAATTCTATCAGATGCTGAGGATAAAGTTTGTGTACTTAAGTGGTGAAAGTGTTGGGAATTACTTCTTCAAATTTCGTACTTATAAATATTATATTTATAATCACATTAAGGAACAAAGACTGTCCCACCACTCACTGTATCTTGCTTTGTCAATATAAACACATATTCAACAAAGAAAGGCAGGCGATTTAACGAGGATGAAATTGGCAGGACAATGTATGGAGTAAAGGACAAGCAGAAACATATTGTGAGCAATAATGGAAAAGTTTTTAGTGTTATCACATGCAAAGCGCCCCATAAAGGTAACATAACTTTTATGAATAACCGACGAAGAAGAGGAGGATTGTGGTGTATTAACACTGGACTAGATTTCGAATGTCATGGCATTCAC